CTTTATCCCCTCTTTGTTTTATAACCTGTAGCTTCGTATTCTTTTACAGATTAACGTATATTTGTGACTCAGTAAAATTGATGTGTGGCGAGAGATATGTTTAGAAAATTGCAGTTTAAATTTATTGAAAGACTTGGAGGAGGCATTTGCAGGTACGAGAGGTCATTGACAAAAGTGAAATCGATGCGTTTCTTTTGGAAGTGCGCCTGGCACACCTTTATTATGAAAAAGTATGATTTTCTATTTGGGAGAGAAGTGTGCTGTTGAATACAATTCACTGACAGATCTGTTTTAGGATGTGCCGAGTTTAGCACTGAGGGGGCAGTGGAATCTTTTTGAAGGCACAATGTTGCAAGGAGGCGCAGAAGGCGATGCGGAAACCAACGTATGGAAAAAAACCGGGCCGGCGATCCCAAAAGCACCAGACACTGCGGGTAGCGCAATGCATCAAAGTGGGCCCCGTTCAGCACCTGGCTTCAACTGTCGAGGTTTGACTGGACAGAGAGCTGAGGTATGTTTCCAAGGGCATAATTCTAACAGGATTTTATTTTTTACTCTTTACTGCAGTATGTTCTGGATTTGATATTTGGACATAATTTCGGGCGTGTGACTCTAAATTTATATTGAAGCTGCCTTCAAGATTTTTTATGCGTCTTTTGCATTGCATAAATGCAAAAAACGCATATTGTCGAGGAGTTATCTGTCTATGTGTCTGTGTGTACGTGTGTGTCTGTGTGTGCGTCTGTACCGAGTTTTAATCTTGAAATCCACAGAAGTTACAAGGCTGAAACTCTGGTAACTTAATCTATACATATGGGCGGGCCCTCATCCTCAAAATGGACGCTCACTCCCGCGTGGTCCTCACGTACGGGCACGTGAAAGTTTTCTTGGCGAGGAAGCGTTTTCGGGAACGACGCAAGCTAGGAGACTGAAACTTCACTGGGTTGTTTTTTGGCCGCGTCTAATCCAAAGATTTTAAATTCAGCTTTCACGCATCTCTAAATCTCACATAAGCACACGTCAGAGTTTTAACTGGCATCATGCCAATTCCATATTTAAGCTGTAGGGAGCTGCAATTTTGCAGCTTTACTTGTAGTCCACTGTTGTATCCGTGAAAATAATTTGCTTACGTGATCACGACGATACACTGGAAGCATTTTTTGTTCCATTGCTCTCTCCATCACAAAAATCCGCTCTTCTGCTTTTGCCAGTAACTGCATTTTACACTCACACATCACTATCTTCAAAGGGTGATACTGAAGAGGTGGCAGTGTCCTTTTTCTTCAACACTTTAACGAGGGTACTTCGAGCATCATGCATCTTTCAGGGCATTCTGAAGTTGCAGATTGTGGTACGAACTTCTCGGCCAGGACACGCGTAATACTCAATTTTTTTCAGTTTTTGAACCGCCTCTCTACAGTCAGACTGTAGGCATAGGACATGTGATAATTTGCATCGTTTCCGGCACGTTCAGGCTTTTTCCCTTACTTTGTGTGTTGAATTTTTTAGAGGGAAATAGTGTTACTCATTCGGGAAATTGTGCCCATATGTTCATTCTGGGACAGAACAAAAAGTAAAATTTTGCCTTATTCACCGCCGATGCGTCTTGGCAGCAAACATGGCAGCTGATGCCAGGCATTGGAACCATCCCCCATTACTGCAAAGCCCAGTCAGTTCATTGGTTTTTTTATGCGTTTTTGCATATATGCAAATTGCAAAAACGCATATTGGGAAGAGGCTGTCTG